AATATCCTGCCCAGTATCTGTATGACATTTGGACACTTCAAGATGAATGTAAGCATACATCAAAATCAAAAGGGGTTTAAGGTAGCAATTGTTCTACTGAAAAAGCAACCAGAATTATAACAAACTTACTGAGAATAAAATATCTTTAACATACTAAAAAAAAAAAAAATCTCAAGTCATATGTCAGCCTCTACTATTTTTCTTTAGGATCAGAAAAGATCAGATAATAAAGTGACCAATATCAGATAACATACATGTTTAGGCATTCATGGAAAGGCTGATATGATATAGATCCATGAAGTTTTCAGTATGGCTGATCCCCTCAAGTTAATGGAGCTGATTTTCAGCACAGAATATTTACTCATTATAGAAATATTTTCAGGAACACACTCTAAATTACTTAGTGAACAACTCAAACTCACCAAAATCAATGAATTTTTCTTCAGTGGGAACAGAATCAGACCTCTACAGCTTGCCTTTACAGAACTACTCTGCTTAAAATCATTGTGTGGGCTCACATTCTGCATCTCAGAAGTGAACTCCCTCAAACTGCATATAAGCAACGAGCACAGCGGTTCCCGAGGTTTGTGCTGCAGCTAGTTTGCCATGACTTCCCTATGCAGAGGTAGTTTTCATCCTTTTGGTGAATGCCACTATAAAGCATCAACAACTGGTACTCTACAGGTACCTCCAGGAAAGTGTACACAGAACATGTGATGCACTGCAGAGGAAATGCTTTTTGCTGGCCCTCTTAAGACTGTGGGAAATGTAATACTAAGGTTTTCAAGGAAAAAGCAAGGCAGTAAGAGTTATTTCTGCATGCAGAAGAAGACAGGATTTGAGAGTTGCAGAGAAATCCTGAAAGCTATCCATATGGCTCCTTTTAAATCTGTATCTGATCTTGCAATACAATCCCTAAAACTTATAGTAAATGCTACCATACAAGTGTGATGTCATATGGATTTACATCTTGCTGTAACAAGACTGAATGGATCTGGGGTTAGAATACCACGTTACCACTAATAAAAAGTAAAACCAGGAATCAGAAATACTACAACAAGCAATTGAACTGCTTGAGTTTTGTTTTCATCCTCACACTAATCTCTGACATTTACAGATTATTGTATCCAGCACTAATTCTTCTTGTTAGCACTGTCTTCTACATAACCACTATGAAAAAATGCCACTGACATCAACTATCAACAAACCTGAAAGGTTTATTGTTAACAACGCCTCATGTGAGCAAACAACGTAGTTAAGAGTTGCAGACATTTCTGTCATTCTAATCCATCTAATAAAATGTTAATGAAAATAACCAGAAAGATTTTAAGCTTTTTATTGACTCACTGTAAAACTTTTTTTGGATGAGACAGAAAAAAACTGAACATGTGAACACTGACTTGCATATTTTAAAGGAACTACAAACGAAAGCAAACATCCAACATACTGTTTTTTGGTAAATAAAATTTAAACATTACATATTTACAAATCTACAACCATTCATTTAAAAAGTGCTGCTTGCAGACTAACAAAGTACCATTTTTAAATCCCAGTGAGATAATATCCAGAAATACCCCTCTCTCATTACTATTTGCATCTCCCATTTGTTACACAAAGATTTTACATGCAGGAATTTTCTCTTTCTTGGGGTACAAATAATTTAATTTGCCAGTGGAAGTCTAATTCATCAGGCTGTAATTTACCAACAGCAAACCTTCTCAAAATGGGAAACTGTTAGCAGTGTCAGAGAAACAGCACAAGTTCTATTCACATTTCAGTATTTCATCTCCAATAATTATTCCAGTGGAACCATAAGTAAAGCAAAATATATATTGCACTGCAAATGTAAAACCTTTGTTTAAGGTTTTTGACATAAGCATTATTTAGTACACAAAAGAGAAAATTCAGTTCATACAAAATTTTAAATTGAAAATATGTCTCAAATATTTTATTTATCCATCTTTGCGGTATTGGAAAATATACTCAAATTGCTTTTCTAATAAAGGATAGTGAGATTTGAAAACTGTTTCAACATTGAATTGTATGATGCTTAAAAGTTATCCACCTCAGGACCTACATTTTGAACATTGACTTGAATGAGGAAAATTTCCCACGTAAAGTATATCACTATTCCAACTATATTTTATTATAGTATTTCTACAGTGGACTGACTTGCAACAGACTTTATAAAACAATTCATTAAGTATAATGATTTCACTTGATGAACTACTACATGATATAGCAATTTAAAAGCACACCCAAATAAACATTAGCAATGCTTCAGGAGTGCCACTCTGAGGATGCAAGAACACAGTAAGATTGTTTGTCTGAAGGATGCATATACAGTCCTTTTCATAGCACAGTATTTACTCTCCTGGTAATACTGGCAGGACTGTTGATATTTGAATGAAGTGGCAACTTTTTGGCTTTATAAGTCTGAAGACAGTTGGAAGTTCTTACAACTAAGCTGGGACTGGAATGGAGAAAGTGGGCCACTTAATACAAGCGCTGCATCTATTCCTGTGCTAGCACACACAGTTTGCAGTGTTATGTCCTAGTAAGTGAGAGGTGGTTAGAGACCAGGCTCAGTCGCTTCTGCCAGACTAAAATAGGAAGTGTGAAGCTTGCTTCATAGCTCAGTACCTCTAACACACCACGGCAGCTCTGGAAAAAGCACTTGCCCTCCTTCATGGCTTGAAGGTCCTGTAAAACAGTGGCTGCCCCAAGTGGTAAATGACATGGGAAACAGAACTGCAAAGAGCTAGGAACATTATCTATACACAGCACAAACATGGATGAGTTTATATACACAGCAACTACTGTATGCAACTTTTACTTAGTAAATACAGTGTACCTACTGTACAGAGTAGAGCATACATGCACACTAATAGGTACTTACAGTGAATATGTTAAAAAATAACCTGCTGTTTTTCACGATAGTTCAGAAGAATGAAGGGGGTATGTATCCACCCTACACTGATACACTGTTTACCATCTACCTGGGTGAAAAAAGTAGCTATATTTCATGCATGAGGAATACTTTACAAGCGTGGCAGTATAAAAGAGAGCATCGCAAATTGTTAAAATAAATTAAATGTGAAAAATGTTGCTAGCTCCACCTCAGGGTGGGGGGATACTTTCAAAAAAGGGTCAGCTACATAATTAGCAGCAAATTAGAGAAGAGGTATTACGCAATGAAAGCTGTATCCAGCAAGACTGCATCTTGCAGTTATCATCAGCACATACCTGCAGCTCTACAAATTTTAAATCCTTTCTCCTTAGGGCAGCATCTTCTTACTATTTTACAGAGGTCTGGGAGGAGGTTACATAGAGCTTCATAGCAGCATTACTTCTCATTTAAGCCTCTAAGGGGCTCACTATTTCATTTAATAAAGTAAACGTGAGCTTTAAAGTTTATCTCCTTTCTGCCTAACTAAATATTGCTGTATTATTACACTTGCAAACTAAAGAGATTTTTAAAAATATCTGCTGGTCGGCAGACCAAAATATAAAATCTAATGTAACAGCTGAATATTTAGAAGTATTATAAGAGCAACAAATAAAAGAAATTAGAATTGGAAAACCATTAAGATTACTTAAATTAAAGCTATTTGTTAAAGCATGGTTTAATTTGACAACCAGTTACTATACAATTCAATGTCAGGGTGTTTTATACAATTCAATGTCTCTTTTCCCACCTCCATACAAGACTTCTGATATTTTCTCTGTAGCCTACCTTCTGGCAAGGAGTTGCTATGTGACTGAGACCACAGAACATTTTTTTAAATCTCCAGAACATGAAAACATGAGTCAAAAGCCATGACTCCACCACAAGGACTGACATAGCGTTTTTCTTCACAGAAAAAAAAAGAAGTTGTTTTGCCTGTGAAATAGAGACCGAACATTCCAAGTACATTTAACTATGCACAATACGCCCTAATAAGTTACATTCCCTATATATTCCCTGTAGCAAGTTTGCTGTATCTACTTTAGTTAAAAGCTTTGGATTAGCATTATGTATGTGCCATATTTAGTGTGTTTCAAAGACAGCCACCAAGACACTGCACACTGCATGTTTATGAAGAATTTCTTGCAGGCTATCATTTGCTTTGTATTACATCTGTAATGAAGTCACATTAACAAATGCCAACAGCTGAGATGTACTGATTCCATAACAATCTGTAGGACTCTTCAATAGGCTTTCTCTTTACTAGGGAGTGGGGAGTGAAGGGAACAGGAGAGGAAGAGGAGATTTCTACAGAAGTCAGTGTGTTCATTAGTAGAGTTTTACAGAAGTTTACCATACCTTCCTTCTGATTGCTGTGGTAACAGATTTTCCATATGTGCATGAGACAAATGCTGTATCTAGAGTACTGTCTAGGTGAAGGTTAATGTTTTCTATTCTGCTTTAAAAACAAATCACTCTTCAAAAAGTAACTGGACAAGTTACTATAAATAGCAGTGTACTGCAAAAAAAATAAGCACTGTATTGCTTATGCAGCAAGTCCATTTAAAATTCACTCCAGTAATTTAAAAAAATTAAAAAAATATCAACTTACTATAAACAATTTAAAATATGTATAATACAACTTTGTATGCTCTTCATAACATCATGAATATTCTATGTAAACAATAGATTTTGAAGAATTTACTTCGCTCACATTAGTTTCAGTGCATTGTTTCTGTCCACCTGTTGTTTAATTTTTTTTAAGAAGGGAACTGTATATGTTGTCCCAAGTTAAAGAATGGATTTTGTTTAGAATCTTCCTTTCTACACATTGATTTGCAGAAAGGACAAGGGACAGGGAAATAATATTTGGCCCATTTTTCACTCTGTCCATTTCCACAACTGTAGACAGGCCTAGTTTTTCCAAGGCCTTCTGCCATAGTACATTCGTACATACGTTCCTAAACACTGAAGACTGAGATGTTCCTTGTGACTGAAGTGGTTATTTTACACAGGTATACATCATAGATATCACCTCTTTATCTAGGTATATTTAAAGATATGGTTCTCCAAAAATCTTTCTGCATTCCATCACTCCAGTACTTGGTGGCCTATCACAGTTATGAGTATTCTTCACTTGATTAGCTGTGAGACGATCATAGGCCATTTTGTACTCTCTGTCAAAAGCATCTGCAGAAATAGAAAAACAACTGCTATATACCATGCTCAAAAACACAACCCAAATGCAATGACAGCTAGTACGCTTATCAGCAGAAAATAACTATAAAGTCCTTTTATTCAGCATTTATCATTGAATGACATACATCTAATCTACAGATTCTTTTTTTGAAGCTGAAAAACTAGTTTGCATACATTCATCATCTATGTTTATCTGAATAATTTATAAAACTTACCTATATCAATGTTATCTCTTCCTAGGGCAACAAGTGAAAGAAATAGTATTTCTCTGTAAAGACTCCTGAAATTGTAAAAAGAAATGTCAATTTATATACTGCAACAATATACCACAAACCAAGCTATATTAAAAATAGATTGAAGCATTTAAAGATAACTTATTTTTAAAAAGTGGCATTTTGAATGTGATTTCCCATCATTCAGAGTCAAGAAGAAAGAGGTGGCTGAAAGAGGAGAGGAAGAGGAAAAAGTGAAAAATAGTTTCTCCTTTTTTTTCTAAAATAAGTTTGTGAAAGTTATCACGAAAAGAAGAATATTTACTAAACTGAGTGATAAATTTGAGAACACTGCTGAAAAACAGTGCTTTTTTTCTTTAAAAAACACACTATGAAAATATATTTCATATTACAAGCCTTATTGTTGTCCAACCTTGCTCCAGTTAGGCATGTTCGCATTCTTACCTCTGTCTTTTAATATGTGGCCATTTGTTCAATCTTTCCAATATTTGACTCATTGGTCCGTACACATCATTCATCTTAATGCTTTTCACCATACTTCTCAAGAGCTCCTGATTAAAGGAGTCGTCATCTTTTTGCAATAAATGGACCATTGGGTACTTCTGGGCTGAAAAACATTAGAAATGCTGTAAGAATAAATATATTCTTTGTGTAGCAAGTAGAAAGCTACTAAAAAAAGGTGGGAGGCTACACAAGCTGTGAAAACGTTGACATGTATGTAGTGAACAAAGAACAATAAACATCCAGTCAAAATAATATCAACATAAGGAAACAAAAAGCACATAAGAGAAAACTCAACAGCTGTAATGGATCATGAGCTATTTTCAGGCATATGATCCAACACTGGCAACAAAATTCTTAGTAAGCAAAGTCTAAAAATAAGAGAAGAAGCTAAGTGGATGAACTGTCAATGTAAGTTCAACGTATCACTGAAACATATTCCCTCTTATTTCTCCCTTCCCAATGAACAAAAAGCCACTGGAGATACTGGTCAATGATTTGAAACAGATATGTGAGAAAACTAAATTTGTTCAAGCAGTTAACTGCCAAACATACAACCACCCTCCCTCCCTCCCAAAACAAGTCACACAAACTTAGAATAGCAACACCAAACTTAACACTCACTCTCAAACAAAAGAGTGCGATTTTGACCTGAAAAACAAAAAGTAGTATGATCAAAAATCAGTTATGTATCTGGCGTGAACTATCCACAAAGACATCTTTTTTTCAAAACACATTCTTCAGTTGCTCAAAGTGAAGATTGTTCTTTAAAAAAACCACCAAAACCCACAAGAAACAGAGCTTACTCTGAGCATTCCACAAAATATACAGAGGCTGCCTTGGATCCTGATGCAATTTCATATTGTCCCATAGCATCTGAATAAGAACATATTTACTGTCCTCTGACATACAATTTCGCGGAATCTGAATAGGAGAATGCATACATAAAGATATTTTATTACAAAGTCATGACAAAGGACTTCTGTATTTAAAATATATCTTGACATCTATAGGCCTCATGGTAAAAAGCTTTAATATTAAAACTGCTGTAAAACCAGAGAAAGCTAAATCTGAACAGGATGTCAGTGACATAGCAAATGAGTATTTTTGTGTATCTTCCTACAGTCCTAAAATTATAACTTCCTCCTTCTTCTACTGTTTAACTAGTCATCAAACTGCAACAAAACCAACGAGAAACCTTTCTTCTTTGTAACTGAGGATCACAAATTACAGTGTGACTAGTAAGAGCTAAACACTTACCCTACACAAATAATGCTGAGCCCAAGTTCGAGTTACACATATTTTCCCCTCAGTTTACACATTCTTTACCAATTCAGGACTGGGCCCAGCACATTGTAAGACACATTTCTAAGAGCTACTGAATTATTTAATGATTTCCTATATGGGAAAACAAGCATTTCTTAAATGTCAATATTTCTTATCTAATTCTGTACCTTGGAGTTCTTATTACAGTGCTCAGAAGAAAGTATTAATCCTGGTAAGTTGCTGGGCAAGTCCAAGCGTCTGAAATACCACACCAAATTCCAGAACACAATAGGATGATGATCTACAAAGTCCGCCACTGTTATTGCATGATCCCCTTCATTTTCAAGTAAGCTCTCAAGCTCTTTCCATACCACTAGAGGACTGAGATAAGGAACCGTTATAGGATCAGGACTAGGTAAGCGCCATTCTAGGCCCAAGGAATCCTATGGCAAAAAAGAAAAAAATGCCATTAGTTGGAATGTAACTATCTTTACAAAGTCTTATGAATGCTTTTGTTCCCTATGAGACACACCAACATCTAAAAGCTACAACTAATATTAGTTTAAATAATAAAACTTAATATTTCTCATAATTTGGGATGGTTAATTCTGTTCTCCTAATTCATGCTGTTTCATACTTCTCTAATCTATCGCACACTTAAAATGACATTTAAGGTAGAAAAACTACACACTGTTGGTCCTTGCAAAGTAGCAGGCAGGCTACCAGTAGGAATGATATGGCTGATCTTCTGGTTTTCCTTCTCATCTTCTTCCAATGGACCAAAAGTACTGATACTCCTTGCTACAGGGTGACTTGTACATTCTGACCCAGAGGTATTTTGTCTTCTTCCTGAGGGGATCTGGATACTTCTGGCACAAATATTGTCATACTGCTTAGATTTGCTAGGGGAAAAAAATAAAATTAAGAATCTCAGCTTTTTGTTTTACTCTGAGTGCTCAAACATATACACAGACACAGACAGAAATAAACTGGAAACAATCGACCTGACACCTCAAATTCTATCTTGCCAGCCACCACCCTCATTCATGCTACAGTGCAAGTTTTATGCCCCCTTGCACTGATAAGGAACACAAGCATCCTAAAAGAGTTCATAAGATTTGCAGAATTACAGATGCCTACATGAATTTTTATATTAGGGATGAAATGGTAAACACCATGCTGAAAAAGCATGATGTGGTCAACTCAGAGGTTAAGGGAGGGGCAGCCAGGAGATCCTCTCTCAAATCAAGTTCTCCTCTTCAGACAGTACCTTATTAAATTTATTTCTGTTGATGAGGAATACACGCACATCCACAGAGAACCTGAGTAATTTCTATGCAGAAAATGCAGGTTTACCTATTTGAATTTATATCCTCTTGAACAGACATTAGAGATGTAGCAAGGCCAACAGTAGCTGCAGTGTTACAGGACTTGCCACTCTGATTTGCAAAAAGTGATGGGAACTGCATGTTTTCTGTAGAAGGGCTGGTCTTCAGAAAATAACTGCAGGGAAAGCAAAAGCTTAATATTATCTAAAAAAACCCAAACAAAAAACACTTTACAATTATAAGTATTCAAAATAGAGGAAAATTCAAATAATGTTATTACCGTCCAGGTCGCCGAAGATCTCTAATTTCTATGCTTAAAAAAGGCAGAAATAAATTGCCACAGAAAGGACACGTGGTATTGAGATTTGAGTCATCTGCTGTCCAACCTGCCATGATTTCTTCATCATGAACCAAACAGTCACAAGTTCGACATCGTGAACAGCTTGAGATGAGGACCTACATACAGCAGATAACAGAACTCTACTATAACACATTCTCAAAACCACTCTTCTTTTACAAAGCAGTTAAAACTGTAGCCAAAATCTTTGCTCTTAGATGAATACTACTCACCACTTGCATACAAGTTCAGCTACATATCTGTTCCCAGGCTTTAGGTTGGAACATTTGGATTTAAACTTATGTATTTCAGAACAACTATTAAATCTTAAATGCAAACTGCATTAGCAGACATTGATATGGTAAATGACTGGATTGAGCATTGTCTGAAAAATTTATTAAGTGGAGGTCTTTGTTCTATTGTAGCAAGTAGACTGGGATCTGGAACTATGCTTGTGAAATAAATACACTTTAGCTAAGTGGGTTAGGTGATCCTTTTATGGCTACCCAGAGTAAAACCAGCCAGTTATTCAATCATATTTTTATTAACAATAACATGGCATTTGTAATCTGTTTGCAAACATAATAGTACAGGAATATTTATGCAGCTACATAAATTGTTCTTAGAATTTAAACACTCTTCTGTAGCAACTGCCAGTATAATAGAAATGAGGGGGGGTAAGGGGGGAAGATTAAAATAACCAGTCATTAATCCTCATCCACTGAAACAAAAAAAAAAAAAAAGAAAAAGAAAAAGAAAGAAGAGCCACCCAAAATGAGTTTAACAGTGAAAAGCAAAATGATCTTACTAGAAGCTACAATAAGAAGTATAGTTTTCTATTCTGTATTTTTAAATGTATAGTGCTATTTAAGACTTGGTATTTTCACTTTAAACAAATTTAGCTGCACAACGGATTTAGATGCCTGAATTCAATGGCATCCAATTCTTAAACTCTTGAGAGTTTAAGGACCAAAAGATGTGACTGCAATAAAGACACTTCTAGAGCAGGATTTGAAATGAATCCTACTCTGTTACTGAAATATTTATCTATCCTTCAGCGGATTAGTTTTAAGCTTTGAACTTTTTAACAGAGATTCAGATAGCATTTATATTTAAAGACATATGCTTTTAGCGTATCAATTAAAATCAATACATTATCCTGTACCTCCATAGCGTAGTTCTGAAACACACTGGTACTACTTGTACTGCAAGAAGATATCAACTCTGATTTGTCAGGTAAAGGGAACTTTGAAAGAGAACCTATTAACAGAAGAAACCCAAAGTATTAGTTATTCAGAATATACATTTTTAGTCAAACAATACTACAGTTATAAAATGTGTGATAGAAGATGCAACAAATCAGATAGACAGAAAGAAACGTGAAGCTGGAGTGTGAGGCTGCCATCTGCCCAGTACCAACAACGGCAAAAATAAAATCTACCAACATAGAATTTCCATATGTTCAGTTTTCTTCTTTTACAACAGTTGGTAGCTTGGAAACAAATTTTACAGATTAAGTAATTCATACCCACACTTTCTATCTGGACAAAAACTAGGGAAGCATAAGAGGTGCTGCTCGTGACTGCAGATATCGATGGCCCTTCTCTTCGCCTCACTAAACGAGCCAGGCTCCCCGCAGCCTCAGAACGCCCCAGTCCCCTGGCCATGATGGCAGCCTCCACTGCCCCTCTCCAGGTCCTCCACATCCCACAAACTAGGGAGCCAAATTGGGGCATACTCTCCTAGGTGCTAAGTGGAGGGATCTAAGTAGACAGATTCATCCTGATTCTGCTTAACACACTCTATAATGACAATAATACAGAAATTGATAAAACAGTCACTACCAATTATCCAGTGCAGATTAGGGGAAAAAAAAACCCCACAAAGTCTGTCTGATAATCAGCTTCCACAGTGGCATATAGAAAGTGATAATTTTCTGAAAATTTTATTTACTACTTTTAGAAAACAAAACCAAACTAATAAAGTTACCTTTTCAAAGTTTTTATAGATGTTTTCTGGAGCTGTACAGCTTACACGAGTAAGATGATTACATGAATACTGAAGGATCTAAAGGGTGTCTTATTTGCATAGCTGTAGCATCCAGAAGCTTATTCAGGGACAGGATGTTACTGTGCAAGTTATTCCACAAGAAAGAACACCCAAAACAAGGTTCTACAATAAAAATATCCATAGGTATGGACATATGTGTATGAGCAATAGCATGCAGGTAGGAAAAGAAAAATTTACTGCTTCCACAAAAAGGACTAACAACTAGGATGATCTCAAACTGAGAATTATAAAGAACAACTTCTAAAACTTGAATATTTTTATTCAGATCAATGAATGCAATGCAAAAGCTGTCTCTTACCACATTGGTCAAATTGTTTTGATGAGCCATCATGGGAAGCTGAGCTTTCTAGGCTTGTCCTGCTGAGGCCAATTCCCTTAATTTCTGATGTGGTATTCTCCTGAGGAGAAGCACTTTCAAAATCATTGCAGACATCTTCATCAGTTAGAGAAGTAGATTCTGAGTCCAAAGCTCCAAGAGATGAAACACTTGCTCGGTCTGAATTTTGATCCTGAGAGAAGAAAACAAATTCCACTGAGAAAAGGAAAGCAAAAATGTTTCTGAAAATAAGAGGCAGCCTTCTCTGTCTCAGTAAATTCAAGACATTAACTTCCCTCCTTGAAAAGTCACTCAGCTCAGATCTGTATTCAGAACAAATGTAAACAAGGTGAGTTTCTCTCAGGGTTAAATAGCTACATGAGGATTCTTTTTAAGAGATTCTCCGAATAAAAAGATCTAAATGAAAACTTAAACATTTTCATCCTATAACTTTTTCTCATCACTGCTATAGAAGTTATTAGCAGCTGTAGGAATGCATTAGGATAGGCAAGGCATCACTGATACTTCAGTTAATTAGTCTGAGATTGCTTTTCAGCACATTAAGACAATACACCAACAGCAACCTGCGTCTATTTTCATTCCCAAGGACTGGGAATAAAATGAATTTTGGTTTGAGTTGGTAGCAGCAAAGAACTTTCTAAACAAATTACCTCAGTTCAAAATTAGTTCAAGTTAAAGCACGTTGGTAATCAATACAAGCAGATTTCCCTTTTTTTTCATAAAAGCTGTAAAGAATTAAAACTATTATTGCTTATTTAAGTATTTTTTTTTTAGGTAAATAAGGGAAGGGATAGCAGTCTTCTCTGCCCTGTCAACACACTACAGTATACTTAAGTTTTCCCATTAAATATACTCTGAACCCATGCTAGACTGAAATTTTGTTTGATTCAGGACAATAAAACTAGGGTCCTGGAAATTGAAACATGATTAAAACAAATTACTGCACATAGTCTACCATGATGCATGTCATTCAAATAGGATTCATCACATAGGAGTCAGTGATTAAACCTTTACAAAGCTTCTTCCTTAATTTATAGGAACCTAGGTTTTGGGGGCGGAGGGGGGAAAGCAATTATAAAAAATTACCTTTGAGGATGCAGCGTACATTGTAAATTTTGAGTACCACTTGCTAGCTTTCTCTGCAACCCCTTTTCCAGCAGAAAACATGCTGCTTTTTAGAACATCAAACTTAGGTGTTAACAGCGTATCCAAGTTGAATGATGGTGAAGACACAAGCGTTAATGCATTAGTTGCATCCTGTGGCTGTTCCTTTGCTGGACTGTTTGGGGAATAAGCTGGGGAGGACCAAAGCCTGTCTCGCCTTTCTTCATTTTTTGCGTGATAACTCTTGGATTTCGTAAGACTGGATGGCCTTGGGGAGTTTGGGGGAAGGCTGGACCTCCTACAAGGTTGGATTACTGTTGGGCTCTTTTTATTAGCATTTCTGTCATCATGGGGTTTTTGCAATTCAATGCTTGGGGCACGACTTGACAAAGGGCTGCTCATGTTGTTCATGTACATGACTATTTCTTCAGCTAAATCTCGCCTTGCAGATGGAGTAGAAACACTTCTATCATCATCATCGTCCTCATCCTCTTTCTGCTGTTCTGTCTCGGCAACCAGCAAGGACAGTGGATCAAATCCAGTTTCAACATCCGTCTTTTCAACTGGCTTTACTGGAAAGCTGCTCTTTCTTTGCAGCCTTCTGGATTTTTCACTGGAGGTTTTCACTGCTGTTGACGTTTCAGGTTCTGCATCCAAGTCTTCCAGATCAAAGATAACAGGAGACTCTGTTTTATCTGTAAAACTGCAATCAAAAGCTGCATCTTCATCACTGGATTCTTTCTCCAGGCTTTCTCTCTTAGATCCTAAAGAGGAAGTTCTGATATTAAGAGTTTTTGGCCTTATGCTTTTCTGTAATGCACTAGATAGGATTTTGGCATCAGCTCCTAGTTTTTCAACAATTTCTCCAGGGTTTGCTTCCTGATTTATTCTATTTATCATGAGTCCCACTAAGCCATCTCCACTCAGGTTACGGTTCCTGCTTTCCCACGGTATCTCCCTTAAGTCAGGTTCTACTGCGCTTTTATGTCTCTTTCTTAAGGATTTACTTTCTGTAACTTCTGCTTCACTGGCATCCTCAAAAGATGATGTAAACAGCAATCCTACAGAACTCTCTGAAAAACAGATGAAACAAGGTGCTTTATTTCTTGCTATGCAAGAAAACTAACTGAATTACAAAAGAACACAAATTTGTCTCATCTTTCAAACAGTTGACAACACTAAGAGATGGAGTTCACTATGTATTGTGCTAGTGATTGAAAAGTTGAGTTGACCATGGTCATCACTTTTAGGAAGGGTCAGATGATAAAACATTTAAAAGGGAGTCAAATCATACAACTCAAGAGTACTTTGAAAGACACCATCAAGAAGAATCTCAGATGTATTTAGTTTCCCCTTTTGGAGACATACTCCATTAAGAGATTTGAAAGCTAGGGACAGCAAAGGTATCTAGGAAATGGCAAAAAAAGCAACACTTTCTAACCTGATGAATTAGAAATAGAGCCAACAAAAGTCATTATTGTCAGAGAAATTTCCATTGTTTTGCCAGAGCATAAAGATACAGACTTTAAAGTATAATATTACAGTATTTCAAGCACAGCTGACAGTATTATAATAACCAGATTTGACATTACTAAAGAATTGTGAAAATGCCTGAAAGTTTCTTTTAACTGCACTGCATAGAAACCTCTTGTCCATCCTGAAAGAATTTATTAGTTGTTGGAGGTTATAAGAAAAAAAAACAAGACCTGGGATTTTGTAAGCAGATGTTAATTACAGCCAAAAAAAAAAAAAGGCAAACAAGAAAAAAATCTGGAAATGCAGAATATTCAGATGCATCTCCCTGACATAGCATGTGCAGACTCTAACCTAAACTCACTTCCACAAAGTTGCTCCAACAAATTTCATTGGCCACTGCCATTACAGCAATAAAACACTAAGTTTTGTGGACAACAGAACTCAGGCACACTACTTAGAGCTCCTGTTAGAAATGGAATATATACAGACAAAACTGCACAAGAATCAAAATGTATTTTCTCTTCCACTCACCCGTGCTAGCTTCTGCTACGGTATTGTCAACTGTACTATTGAGTCGCACTATGCTAGAAGCGGCTTTGGCATTACTTGAGTTCTGATAATTTAATTTAGGTAGGCAGTCACCACTCCCTTTTGCGCTCTCCACTTCGGACACTGTATATAAAAAAGGACAGACAGTTCTTTAGAATCAAAGCAACTTAATTTAAATCTCAAGTTTCCATTACCTATTAGATGCTTTATGCAGGATTAAGTGACAGCATGTTGTACATATCCCATGATGCATAGGCTGATATCTACTTGGGCAGAGGTTTTCAAGCTGGAACAACTGAACTATGAATATTTAATTCTTGGCATTACTTTTATAACTGAAAGTTCCATAAGCTTCTGTACACAGAATCCAAGAAACCAGTACTTGCATATAAAAATTTGTGGTGGTTGTGGAGACTAAGAGCACCCTGTTCACTTGCAAAGGATAGGCATAAGAGTATTTTCTCCTGCCTTTGCAAGAGCTCAGGGCCAATGAGCCTATCTTCGTACAGATCTCATTACTCCTATGACGATGACTACACAAGAGAAATGAAGCAAGTGTTGCAGTATTTATATTCACCTCCTTTAGATATGAAAGACAAATTCTGTTGTCAGGTGGCTACCCAAAATAGGCAATTACTTCTCTACAGGAATTCAAGCAACTTAATATTCTCAAGCAGTATTCAAAAGTGCAAAACATTTTCAGCATATAATATTACTACAGAGAGCCACAAATTTGTCTTAATTATGGCAAAAAATAATACAAGCTTTCAGCACAATTCACATTTTCGGTGTCTTCAAAAGTTTCATTAAACCTAAATAACCTGCCTGCCATCTTACAGGTATGTTCATATGACCATGGGTAACACTTACACAAATTTTCAAGCAAACTGAAGAAAAAATACTAATGCTAGAAGGAAGACTGTGGTGAAAAGACGACACTGAAGTAACTTTTCTGGTTCATATTATCTCATACTTTTACATCACTTCCACTTGACAAGGGGATAGTTAAACAGTAGGGGAAAGCACACTGAAAAATTTAAATAATGATATTATTAGGAGAACGTTTATTATGAAGAGCATTTTCAATGAATGTATATGGGAATCTATAGTACTTATACATTTTTACTACACAATCTGATCTGCTATCTGCTTGCATAAAGTCTATGCTGCTCAACTGCAGTTAAAGGAATCATGAGCAGCAGATGTAAAACCTGAAGAAAAAACAAAGGTCCGCAGCAAATCCAAAGCCCTTCTCATTTCTGATGCATCTCCAGATTTTGAGAATTCCAGGGAGCTGAGTAATTTAGACCTCTCTCACAGACCTGCAAAAATTCAGCTGTTCTCCTCTCACGGGATTTATAAAGAAAACAGGCTGGTAGAAGAGGCTTTCCTGTAGATTATACCTATAAAGCAATTTCATTTTTTTAAAAGACAAAAACATTAAGCTGTAATTATCATTAAGCCTTTACATTACCATTATCACTTATTTGAAACAGAGGAGGGAAAAAAAGAACTGTAATTTTGAAAGTTAAGCCATTAGACATCCAGAAAATTACACTGAGAGAAATGAACTTAAGGCATGGGTATAAACTGGCATTATCACATACACTCACTGTAAAGAAATCAGCTGCCCCACTTAGCTTTTGCTGAAATCCCTATTTATCCACAATGAACTAAATATCTGTATTCAGAAGATACATACGAGAACTGGAGTCACTCTCTCTCTTATCCTCTTTTTGTTCTTGTATATCTTGAAGACAAGTTTTCCCTTGCCTGGCTTCTTCTTTGAATGATGTGTTATTGCCAAAGTCTGAAAGTCCCCCTATCATATCAGGGCAATGACAGAATGGTATTTAATAGCATGACATTGTTAAACAGAATAAATTGAATATCCACAGTAATTCAAAGGCCTCTTATCAAGTACATTCAATTAACAGTGAACATTTTACCACAAAAAAGTGAGAAAAATTATTGGCTTACTTTTACAGTACAAACATTGAAGCAATGCTCAATAGGATGAAATTAAAGGGGTAATTTGCAACGTTGCTTTTTAAATACTATACTAAAGCACTGCTTGTCTTTGATTCTGTTGCCTGGTCTATTTGATCAAAATGTCACATCTTTTCAAGAACTCTAAGAAGCATCTAGACATGGTTTCATTTTAGCGTAGTTTGTTTCTCAGAGTTAATGCATATAGTTGTCATGGTTTTACTCTAGAAAGTAAAAAAATTGAAACAATGCAGCAGCAACCATGAGTTTGTTTGCACAATAAGATTAAAATAAAAATAACAAACACCACCCAAAAAAACCCCTGCAAACATTCAAGCCACTATCTGGTCATTCTTAAGACAAAACACTGCTCCCAGTGTAACTAGTATAGTTTGATTGATTGATTTCAAGAGCCAAATTTACTTAATACTAACATGGTTGTTCCTCGCCCAGGTTGTTATAAAGCACCAAAATAAAGCAAATTAACAAAGCAGATAAGAAAGTTTCTGTTCACTATAAATACTAAGTGAGCACTTCAAGTCACACACATTCCACATCCTTTGTCTAGGTCAACCTGAAGTCTTCAGCAGTCCCACACCATCTTTAGGGGATTTACTCTCATACAGTTTAGGAGACAACAGTAAGCACCTGTCCAGGATCAAGAGGGTACAACATGGCTGAAAGCCAGCTTCTTTCCCTCTTTTCCCCAAAGATGCTGCACTGAATGTCTACAGAGAGGGTAAAAACCTTCTTGCTATTGTAAAGATAACAAAATATTCTGGAATTTATGGAAAAGCTTTTGGGATTGCCTGAAGAGTCAGCATCCATTCTAGCTATGTGCTTTCATGCAAAGAAATCTCGAAAAATCAGATGATGTCAAAAGCAAATACCATTAATTATATAAAGGACCATTAATAATATCATTAACTAGTAAAGGACTAAATACAATTCCTTAGTTTACATGGTCTGAATTGCAACCAACATCACTAAACTCTTACTCAGTGCTTTGCACAGATGGGATTCAAAAAAGTAGTTGATCAGGAAGGTCAGCTTCATGAAGAACAGGCAGAAATAAAGTAAATTTGTTCAAGGTAATCCAGAAGGCTAGTGATAGAGCCAGAAGTAGGACTGCAGTCTCCCACGTCTAGGAGAAATACTCTAGCCACAAGGCCATCATATCTATTCTATTTGTCTGGGCAAAGATTTATTTGTACATATTTGGAATCACAGAATAGTCCTGGTTGGAAGGGACCTTGAAAGATGATTCAGATGATCTTCATAGATTTATACATGTATATTGCCAAGGTCTTCCAAGGTCAACTACAACTAAGCTGACTAGTATTGCTGGTGCTTTAAAATGTTCTATCTTGCTTTACTAGTAGTAGTTATAAATACTGTGAAAAGTAGTACCTATGAAAAATACAAACTACAGGTAAATCACCAGCATGGTAATATAGCCATTTGAACATCACATAAATCTTTACTGGAAAGAAAAGGAAAGAAAACCAAAGTTTACAGCCTCAAATATTGTACTTATAGTCTAGATAAAAATAAATATGATCATTTCAGTTGGTACGCAGCACCTGCAAACAGTACTACAAACTCATGGACTAGTTCTAGTTGCCTCTTAACTAACATGCAAAAACGGAAAACAAAAAAAAGGCAAGGCTGGACAGAAGTTCTGCCAGTTATGAGACTGGCTGTTGTATGAACTACGATACTTATCAAATTGATTTCAGGTTCATATTTTGTCTCCATGGAGATCTGATACAATAAATAAAGAGCAGACTATTTTGGATTCAAAGACAAAAAAAAAAGCTGTTTTTTAAAAATTATGGAAGAACTTTTTTCCCCCTGTAATGGTTTTATCATCAAATTCACAACAGAAAGCTTTTTGAAATAATTTTCTTATCAGCATGAAAATAAAGAAGAAAAGGATGTGAATACTCTACCAGGAATGGCTGTATGTGAGGTGCTTGCTGGTAGCTTTTTCAATGCTTTTTTAAACTGTGCTATTCCTAGAACAACGTTTCGTATTTTCATCCACAGGAAGTAGCCACCTCGATTGCTTGAAGGCCAGGTACTTTCCAAAACAGCCTATTTTGGAAATATCAAAGTCAAATAAGTCATCTTAAGGAACAGTCAGGTGTGAAATCATTAACTTAAATTTCAAACTGGGTTACATTGGCAGTTATAAAGTAGACTTCTAAACCTACAAAACCGAAGAAAACACAATTATTCAGTCTTGTATTTCTTCCAGTTACTAGAAATGACAGAATTACATCTGAACTGCTCCCTTATTTTGCTTGCTTCTATTTGCCTGGATAAAAATGCATTTTTTTTCCCCCCTCCTCTTTCAAACAATACTTACCTTATTGTAGTAGCCGTAAGTAATGGCATTAGGGTCAACACCAGCTTTCTGCATTTCAAAAAGCACTCTCACTGCTAGCACAGGCTGACCATACTGTCCACACAGTTGCATGAGTACTCGGTAGCATACCTGAAAATACACACAAGTTAGTATTGCGCTTCTATAGTCAAACACGTACTCCATTCAATAAAACCCACCGGCTGTTTCTGGAATTCGGTGGTGACTTATTTTACCTCATCAGGTGGATCTATTTTTTTGGTGTGCATTTTTTGTAGCACATCATATGCAGTTCTCAGAGCCCTGACTTTTGAATGGCACACTTTCACATACGCAGGAAGGCAGATAAACCAAAGACCATAGCAGTGACGTAACAAACACCTGGACCACATCTGTGGTATGGATGAGTACTTCTTAGCAATTTTATGTGCAGATTTAATTTCCTGTAAAGAATCATAAAGATTATTTGTGTATATTTACATACACGTTACACAAACCTACATGTTAAAAAGTGAACATTATTATTATACCTACAGAAACTGCAACATTAATATGAAAAACATACTCAAAGTGGGAAAGAAAATGAAAGCAGAGCAAGTGATACCGAAAACAGTTGCTGTGCAATATTCCCCTCCTAAAAACTTGCATTTCTTTAAATTCATGTCTATTACTTTTGGTCTGCATTTTTTGTAAGAAACATTTGAAAGTTAGAGTCCCCTTTAAAGCCCTGGACAGTGAAAAGCAATCAAAAAGCGGATGTGGAAACCCAACAGTTTATGCTCATGGATAACAGTGTTAAGAACACGGAAGGTACAGGGACAGCACAGCAAATGACAATCTGTGTACAGGGGCCCTATACGATACAGTGTAGGCAAGAAGCACAGGTAAACACCCAAAGAATAATTAGCATAGCTACCCTATAGTCACTGTATCAGTGAAGAACCACTAGTTAGGCTGCAGCCACTGCCAGAGTCAGTCTTTATAGCCAAACTCAAGATGAAGGCAGCAAGCTGTCACTTTCCAAAGCACCCCACACTACAAGAATACCTGCAAGTACCTGTTTAGTTCTTCTGAACATTGGCGATGGGCTGTTGGGACTACTGGCTTTTGAGGACAGTTTGTTATTTGGTGCTGTGAGAAATCCTTGAGGTCGCTCAAACAAATCTAGTTTTAATACTGGAAATCCATTATAGCTGTAAAAGAAATGCGTCACTTAACTCCGTGAGGCAGCTCCAAAGTAAACCCGTCACATTATAGCAAATGAAATCAATTACACAGTTGCACTAGAAGCTACACAGGAAATAGAAAACACAGAAGTAAACCTTTAAAGACACCATTGACAAAGTGGTTTACTAGTCCATCTACATGATTTCATAAGCCTGCACAGTCTCTTAACCTGTTATTTCAGTGTAAGCAACTTAAATTGATAAATACGTTTGCTTTCACAGCATTTTCTTTAATTAACGTGTCAAATGCATTGGTATTGATTCTAGTTAATAAAAAAAAAAATCTGTGTGGCTTAGTCCCTAGTGAGCATCACATGACAGAGGTTTATAAAAATCAATATGAACAATATCAAACTATCTAAAAGATTAAATTAGATGAGTTTTAAAAATGTTTCTCAGAATTAATGAAGAAACCAATAGATAAACTCATTTGACATAATTACTAAATTAGTAACACCAGTTTTCAGTGATCCTTTGAAATGTACTCTCTCTGTCCGAAGAGTATCTGCAGCTTGTATCGTTATTACTAGTAGCAGCAGGCCAACAGACTGGGTCCATTAATTTCAATTTTAACCTTAAAAAGCGTCAACAGCTAGCACAATGGAATATGAACACACAGCCAACTTTATTAAGTATTATTGCTTCTGTGTGTAACACACACAAAATCACTAAAACTTCAGAAGAGCTGGCACACTAGGCATTTTACATACACATTTTTACTTGAGCAACATAAAGGGACAGGAAAAAAATCTGTACTTTGTGGCAATCACAAGAACCTAGAAACTAAACTCTACAAGGGCAGCTGTTAGGATTTTGGCTAGCATCCTACCATGTCCTTAGGTTACCTGTATTGTAGAGGGTGCTCTTCACCATTTGGCAGATGAGGGATCTCAGGTGGTGTTATAAAAACTGTATGCTCACTCTTGTATGACTCATCCAGCTCTATAAGTCGTGTTTCCCCAGTTTTGTCCATATCTACCTGGAGAAGTTATGTTAAAAGAAAAAGTAGTTACTAGTGTTACTGTATTTTCTGCCGTTAAAGCTATATGGTCAAGCAGGGCAAAGTCTATATCAGCATCAAAGGATTGCATCTTAAAACTAAGGATGCCTTGCAAAGCTATAATGAGAATAGCAAGTGTTGCATCATTTTTGTAAACTTTACACCAACACAATGATCGATGTTTAACGATATACTCTGAATTGACTGTTTTCAGTTAAATATTGTAAGTAGTTGTACAAAGAGGTTAATCTTTCTGAATACAACCATTTCTGGAACTATGTTTCCAACTGCAGCAGTAACTTGAAATTTATTTTTAAATATAAAAATGAGAGCTATCTTTTTTCCTCTATTTTAACCACTGAAAACAATAACAAACTTTATCCAATTGTCTGATGTATACAGAATCTACAAACAACACTATCTAGCAATTTCAGTCACTTACATAGTCATTAAGGTCATGCTAGTTTGCAGAGATTACAGAAATACACATGCATTCAAAGAGATAATGGAATAAAAACGTGTGACCTCTACTAAAATTAAAAGGGGATAGAAGTAGCTTTGTTTTTCTAAAAAAACAGTAACCTGAAAGGTAAAGAGCAGCTTCATGATTTTTTTCTCTTTCAGATAAGGCAACAGTGGTATGTGTGAAAATACAGCACATATTGGGTGGTCCTGTCCTGTCACAGCTAGGACAGAAATTCAGTTCATGGCTAACAAAGGCAACTTGTAATAATACTACAACTAAGCATAAATTATGGCTGCACCTGTTTTGTTTTGTTTTCAGCTTTGTAACTGGCAATTTGACCACAAATCTTTGCTTTGTTAGCCTGGCTGTGCAGAGAGGAGGAGAAATTTGCACTTCCCAAATTAATGCCCCTGCTTTAAAGACAGCAGCAGAGACATACTCCAAGGCTCCAGGCAAATTTGAAAGCATCAAACTGCAGGATCAAGTGGGAGAAAAAACTGTCCAACAATTTTACTGAAAGAATTTCATTCCATTGCTTGAGACAAAAATAAAAAACCAAAGCAAAACTTAGTTCCCCAAAATCTTGTTTGGGGTGGCCATGAACTGTTTCCCTTTGAGAAAAAGAACAGACAAGCCTTTAACAGTATTACAAGCTTCCTACTGCTACTGTTGACATTACAGAAACCACTAGGAACAGAGCAAGTATAACATGTATTACATTCCACCAGAGAGCCTTTACTTAATATTTCTACTGGTATTTGTATTGCTTTGTCTCTGATCTTCTGTCACCAATTGTGTCTCCTCCAACACCTCATAAGTGCTGTTTCCACTTGTGGGATGAGACGTGTCTCCATCTCGAAGTTTTGGCACTATCAAAAACTATTTACTTTGTAGCGCACAGAACGTGCTTTTTATTCACATATTGATAGCCCCAGTGTTCAGCTCAAATACTGTCACAGTTTACACTTATAGCCATTATTTAAATGGTTTAAATGGCAGCCAAATTACAGCCAAATGGTACATTATTCCAAAGAAGTGAATAAGTAACCTGTGGAACTCAAGGATGCACATTCTTCATGCCTTAAGAGTTTAGCAACAGAGAATTAATGTACAAAAAGAAGCATATTCCACAGTTCTTCCCTTCCAGTGAGCTGGAAATATATCAAGTAGCTTCAGTAGAATTCTTGAATATTTAAAATTTGATAAACATACAAAAAAGTGTTCTTAATTACACATTTTACTGCATGAGACAGATGGAACATATTAGCAAATCGAACCAGCCAAGTAGCAAGAACATATGGCTCCTGAAAAGTAGAAATAAACGAACCCTTACTTGGCAATTTAAATACTTCTAAGGATGTAAAAACCCCACAGTTACAAGTTTCACCAGTGAAATACAATAAAGCCAGTAGCTTAAATATGTATAGAATTGAGATAATTTTTAATTCCTGGAAAAATGAAAACTTGTGAGACAATTACACCATATCTTTCAGTAGACAAAATGGGTAATCAATTACAATCTCTGCTGCTGCTGTCTAGGATAAAATAACATGTAGAAGAGATTACTCTTCAGCTTAATCTAAGTCCTGCCTCAAGTAATTTATAAGAATAGTTTATATTTCATAGACAACTAATTTCATAGTACATAAAATTTGTCTCAACCCAGTGGCTTATAACTACCCATAAGAAAGTGTTCTATCACCTTTCAAACCATGACATGACTCTTTCATGCATACCCTTTCAGGTACTAGTTCACCTAGTAAAAGACATTAATACAGAAATAAATATTCACTTTATTGGAATCATTCAAATTTGGTATCTGGTCAAAGTAGAGCATCTTGGCTAAAGCTCTAGTTCGTACAGCAGTCCTTGGTATACTTCAGTATTTTGACTTTGTATGTTACTGTTAAGCATAGTATCAGAAATAAGAGAAATCAATAAAGAGAAGCAGGAAAGAGAAGATGAGGCAAATATATCATTGTTCAAGAAATCCTACATGGGAACGCACTCCCTCATGTCAATGAAAACCTAGTTTCACTATCAATTCTAAAGCCATGGCAAATCTTAAACACATAGTAATTCCAGTGCCTCACTTTCCCCACAATTATCACTGGCATAGAAGTAGTTGTCCAATTAATAAAACTGAATGAAATCCTCACTGACAGAAATAGAAGTTGGAGAAGTACAAGTGTTTTCTTGTACTTGTACTTTTCTTGTAAAATTTATTCTCATGGCACTGTCATGAGCATTTTTTTTTTTTTTTTTTTTTTTAAAGTGGAAAGAAGCTGCCCACGGCATCAACTAGCAAAATAACCGGAACAGTCAGTGCTTCAGATGTACGAGTCGCTACTTAACCTTTTACAAGAGGTGAAAGCTCTAACAGCTCCACAGATTATGTGCAGTCTCACAGTGGCATCACCAACCTGAGTATTACTTTTTCAGAAGAATTGTTTTAATTCCCAGGCAAGATAACTTTAGCTAGAGCATCAACTTCAGCACCCTCAAACCATTCTATAAAATGAAATATAACAGATAGAATTTGACACTTACATAGTCATCACATTCTGAATAAAAATCCTATTTAACATTAGTCAGAGAACTAACCTGCAACACAATGGAAACTAAGTACTGCTCAATAGCGTTTAGTCACTGAGGTATGTATATTCCTGTCTACGAGACCTCCCATTTTTAAACACTAACTGGCATACAGCAAAACAAGCGCTACATGTTGAAGGCTTTTTAACTGAACTATAGGATAATTGAGTGAACATTACAGAAATGTTTGTAATAAAATCAATTTACAACCCATGAATATCTGCAACTCATGCTGTAGGACTGTGAAGCACGCTTTTGAGAACTACTAATAAAATATTGAGACTAGCAAAAGCTATAAAGAGCACTAAATACCATTAGACCATGGTTTTGTATTTCTCTCAAACTTAAACCTCACTGCTTTCAGATTTGTTTTCAAAACAACTCCTTTTAGCTCTTCTGCACTTTCATAGCAGAAATAGCCATAAATAGAAACTGTAAATAGCAGTTTTCATAGTCTTCGGTATTAATTTCTGTGGAATGAACAGTAGGTGACCTAGTTTACAGGAAATTCTAGACAACTGTGCATTAAACATCAGTGTCGCCAAATAAGAGTGTTACAGGTAGCCAGTAAGATAAGAAATTCCACACCAACTTGTCATAATATTCATAAAAATTTCTTTCATGTTACAATAGAAGCAAACAGGGATATAAGATTGTGGGTTTCAGTTCAGTTCTTCTGAAAACAAAAACTAATGCGAAAAAAATTTCAAGCAGCCTCAAAACACTTTTGTAGACTCTCTTTGGAAATACAATGAATTTTCAAAAGCTAATCTACCTGTACTTTTTAGAAAATTAGTTCTTCACAGTGCTCAACACTACTAATGTGGACCTTTCTTATAAATATCTTGGATTTTCAAAAATCTGAGTGATACTTCCATGGAAGACGAAAAAAGAAATCCACTTTGAACTGGGAAATCCAACATTCTGTGACCTCCAGTCCAGCAGAAGCTCTACACTTATTTCAAGAAAAACACCAATTGTGATCATGTTGCGCTTTCACACTCCTTGTCACATAATCCTTAACAATTGCCTTTCCTTCTCATTACAAATGAGAGAATAGCATAGCAACACATGGCAAGGTATTCCTTTACTGCAACACAAACACGACAGTAGAGTAACAGAACCTACAAAAAATTTCAGCTTACGCAAAGCTTATATGTGACACACCATAATAAATCTTGCTTACTTTAAGAAACGCATACATTTCATATCCATCAATATTTGATAACAAGGTCATTAGAAAATACTCTTATCCAAGAGAAGAGTATCAACACAAGCACTGTATTCAAGATATTTACATCAGCAAGCTGGTTTTGAATTGGGGGAAGCAAGTGACAGCAGCATGAATGAAAGGAGAATTGATAAGAGATTCATTTTAATTATTTACTTTTAGCACAAGCCTTCTAAAAGTTCTCTAAGAGTAACTAGAGAATTACTATTAGAAAGAACTGGCCAGCACATTGTTTAAAAAAAAAAAGGTCAAGGAGCCTTCTGTTTATAATAATTAAAAAATAGTGAGACTGCCTTATATCTTCTAGTGTGCTGTTTATTAACCCCATTCCTAAATGGTTGCATGAAATATTACACAATCTATAAAAGTGCATATAGTTTTATCTAAGGAATATAATTCTCTGATAAAGAAGCTCAAAGTTGCTACTTTACAGTCAGAGTATTACACTTCTTACCATGGGCCAGTATTTCAGAAGCTTACATAGATGTGAAAATTAGCACTTCTAATTGGTTCTCATTATAGTTACATTTTCAAGAATTTGAAGCAGAAAATAAAACAAAGCCCAACAAAAAAGGAAAATGGAAGGCTCCAGTGACTAGAAAAAAGGAAGTAAAAGAAAAACAGAAATAAACTCACACTTCAAATATATTCTGCTTGTACTATATCAGATAATGTAAGCAACAGCAGAAGTTAAAAAACTATATGCATATGAAGACACGCTTACTTTATCCACGCAGTCATCAAAAAATGCAAGGCTTGCGTCCTTATCACTGACAAAAGAACATTCTTCAATGAAGCGAATAAACATTTGAGTTTTGGTCATCAGTGTGTAGAACTTCTGATGTGAACGATCTCGACTTTTGAGGAAACCTATAAAGTGAAACCAGAAGCATGTAAGAATGCCTAAAAAAAAACCCCTCACCAAATATCATCATATATTCTACTAACAAGCAATAGCCCTTCTGTAATCTTTGCCACTACCACGTAATTTTTTTCTGCTCTTACCATCATTCACAACACTAACGCTGCAAATGTTTTTACTCTTTAAATAAGAGAGAATCTAAACTAGTAAATTAATATACATAAAACAGGTTTATGACTCTTCACCTTGTAGTTCAAAGAGAGAACTTGCATCTGTGGCTGTTTCAGAGGGTGCCTCTGTTATTGGCCTGAGATAAGATCTGTAACCTTTTAGTATTGAGGCCATAAAACACAGGAATGCTTCTTGGATCTCCAAATCTAACAGATGCAATTTCTTCCCAGAATTAAAATCGTAGTCATTCATTGCTAATTCCATTAATGCATCTTCTCTTGGTCTCTGTTGCACTGTGAACAAAAACAACATTATAACGTTTCACGTTATCTTTTTTCCCAATATTGGTAAAAAAAAAAATTCTCTTTATCCTACTAGATTCACTGATTACTGAGCTCCATTAAGTTTGGAACAGATTAAAATATATGCGATTAAATTCAATCATGACATGTGACAATGGATTCAGCTTGACCCTATACAACTCCTGTATCTCTGGACAATACCAAAAGCACAATACATTTACCTTTTCAGCACATTAGTTACTACAGCAACAGAGAGAACCAGTATGGACAGAGCTGAAAAAAAACCCTCAAATAAAGCTGTTCATAAAAACATGTGAAAATTTATACAAGAGCTGATTAAAGAAGCATATTTTAGGGACAAACACATAGATGGGATGTGTGTATTACTTTTTTTTTCTTTTACAGTGCCTTTCATTTAAAAGTGTTCCCAAAAAGCAGACTATACATATTAAGTACCTATATACACAGAAAAATACCACTCAGATGCAAAGTGGAGCCATCACAACACAAAACCCTGATACAAAGAGAAAGCAGGCATTTTTTTAAAAAAGATTTAGCAAAATCTCTATTCTTAAAGTAGATACTCATATCAACACTTTAAAGCCATCAGAATTCTAGCTAAGACTTCACTGCTACACACACAAAATATGGTAACGTTCTAATAATGTCTCAAAAAAGTGAAAGGATGGTTTCATTACTGTCTTTCCACATACTATGTATAACCAACCTTATACTGATATCATATTAAATTCTTATTACAGAGTAAATTGCTTAAAGATCAGTACCACTGTATTTTTATAGAGTATAGAGAACATACAGTTTAACAATTTTTCCTGAAGAAATCCTCACAGTAAAATATATCACAATCTTGAAGCAACAGACAATTTTTATCACCTATACACATTTTTATGCAGCACACACCAATAAATTTCTGTTTCTGTACATTCTAATTGGGACACAATTAAATTCTAGTAACCTCAATAGCCAAGAAGGTGTAAACAGCCTTTAAAAAAAAAGAGTGCCCTAAATCCAGGTGACAATTACAAAGATCTCGTGCAATATGCTTTCCAGGTATGTATTTCTCAAACACGTAATGTTGATCAACCCCATCCTTTTCATACTCTGATTTAAGTCTTAACCACTTGCTGTCTCTGCCACAGCAACTTGATTTTACAATTGCATTACTGCTCCTTAAAGCTCCCTCCAATGTCTATGGAAATCATCTTCTAAGCAGACAGGTAATGTCAGAGTGCTGACGGACTTCCTTGCCACTTCACAAAGCCTGTTTAGCTATGATGCCCAAGCACATCAGCTGGCCTTGACAACATTTATATTTCCAAATGTTTTGTTGTAAAGAATTTCACTAACATCATCTCTATCCATTTTTCTGCTCTCTCACATCAGTATACCTTGCTCTGCAATATTTGAGGATTCTATCAACAACCAGTTTTTCCTTAGAAATGTCCAGTAATTTGCTATACATTTAAAAACCCAGTGTTTATAAAACATTTGTTATTTCCATCTTAAAATTTTAGGTAAAGTACTACCAGCTTGAGTGCCAAATTTATCTCAATTGTCAAGACATCAGCAGACTTGAGCAGGCTTTGAAGACAAAACAAAGGTCTTTATTTGGTCCTGGCCTACTTTTTGCTTTACTATTCCCTTCTTATAAAAGCTCTGCATTTTTTTTGGTACAAGGATAACATCAATAAAGGGATATCTATTGAGCACCACCTTACATATATTGAAGACTCCTCCACCCCAAAAGCCCCTAAATGGGTTCTAATCTCTGGACTTAAAGCACAGATTTTTCCCATTCTGTACGAAAACATTGTGTTTAGTGTAACAGGTGACTTAAGAACATATTTAATTAGCTGTATTTATCCGTTAATGTGGCACACTATATCCAGTGTAAATCTTACTATGTACTTTCCCACTCACATTCTGCCAGTTGCTGATATAAATTACTTAAAGTGTTCATCAGATTTTTACAAGGTTTCTTTGGTAAGATCTTCCATGCAATAGCTTTCTTATCTCCAGTTCTGGAAGGGGGGGAAAAAAAAAAAGTGTGAGTATACACTGGAATACATCTGTATATAGGACTGTATTCAGAGGATTTTTCTATTCTACCAGAGAAATGGGAGAACATACACAATTTGCTCCATTAAAACAGGACTGAGAAGGATTGAAAACCAACCAACAAAGTCAAACTTAATTTACTATATGGAGATTTGATCACAGCCATCCAACCAATGCCCCATATTTCAGGATGATGATTATGCAGCCACACTCTTCAGCACTGAAATCAACCCACTTAGAACTCATGAAAGATGGATTAATAGTATTAAGCATCTGCCATTGCACAAGCAACCACCACACATGCTATGTTCTCAGCTGTAATTACTTAAACTAGGATGGAGGTAATGACTAGAATGCTCACAGTAAAAATCAATTTGATATGATAACCGCTTTGTGTTTACTGCGTATAGATTTGGACTTAGCTATATCACTACCATGATGAAAAAAAACTACAACATTCTTTGTCAACAGAGGGCACCAGCAAGCCTCAAGACCCCATCAGTCCCAAAGCTGCAAAAATTGTAAGCATTTGTTTGACACTTTTTTCCATACAATGAAACACTATTAATCTGTACTAAGAAAATGCATACAAAATCAGCTAAAAGTAGAATGAAAACAGAAATAACTGGGAATAAATTATTTTCCATTAATGAATGTGTAACTAATTAGATGATTACCAGAAGAAATGCACAAGCATGTTCCTTTTAACCAAAAAGTAAGAAAACCAAAACCGAAGTTATCGCAGCCTAGTTTGAACTAGTTCCTACAAACTTCAGAGCAGAATTGCTAGACAAACTTGGTACCAACATAAAATCCTTACAAAAATTTCTATTTACAAATACTTAATATATGCAACCTTCTCTAAATCCACACACAACTACTGAAGCAAAAATAAACCCACAAATAAGAAAATTTAGGAAGAAAAAGGTTTTTAGTTAGGCATAGTAATGCTGAAAGACTGCTATCAACAGGAGGATGACACAAAAGAACGCTGACCGAAGACTTTGAGAAGTCACACTAAGTATATACTGAGTATATTAAACATTATACTGAAATAAAAGTTTAATTCTGAAATACAAGTTTAATTAATTTTGTGTGTTTTGGAACCTTGAATTTTTGTATCACATCATCACAAGGAAATAAATAATTCTTTGTTTTGAGTATCATAACAATATGGACTGTTTACCAATGGTTTTAACAGTGCACTGCTGTCCCTTACTAGTGTTTTAGATACTAGATAATTAGTATTACAGAAAAATGTAGTACTCTACACAGTTCTGAACGAGAAATATTACAATACTGTTATTTCAGGTTGTTAATGATGGCATGATTCTAAGTCTTAGTTAAGACTCTCTCACCCATGAAAGTTCACATCTCTAATTCTCAACATGAAGTTCCTATACTTCATATTGATATGCAGTATGATTTAATTTGTTATAACTTTCAAGCAGATGCCCATATGAAGATACTAGAATTTCTTCAACACTAAGAAAGCTAATAATGAAAAACAAAAATTACTATTCTCCTCCAGGGACAATGAAGTGAGACACAACATGGTTAATCCAGGAAATGTGCCAACACGTGCAATAAGATTTTAATGTAATAGAATAAAAGGCAATAATGTTCCATGAGGATTGTATCTCCACTCTGCCATGTTGGACAGGACATATCATTTCTAGCATACTCATTTCAAGGATGATACATTAGGAAGTTCAGAGGTTTAAAACAAACAAAACCTCCCAAAGTTTTGCCAAAAAGCTAGTTTTTGCCTTTGAAAACAGGAAGCAAAAAAAATTAACACAGAAGAAAAACTGTTAATAAATACTTACTGAGAAATTGTATTGGTATCTAGGTCAACACAGCTAACGTCTGGTGGAGGGTCATAGAGATCAAAGTATCTTGAATCAATTCCCACTATGAATGGGCATGGTGCACTTAACACATCTGCCAGTGCCAAGGGACAGAGAGGAATATATGGACAAGGCCAATGGAAGGGAAATATCATCTTTGAAAATATGCAGAGACAAAAATATAGGTTAAACATATATAATAATATAGTCTATGCACCTGTGTAAACCACACTTCACTAACTGCCATTTCAAAATTATTCAACATGGCAGATAATTATTACTGAAAATCTAGATGCAGATTATTAAATAAAAAATGCACTCATTTATCTAAAACTCAATTTGTTTAATTTGTAGGAAAAAGCTCTTCAGTATAATAGATTGCATATAGCAGAGGTAGCAAAACAATGCTTAGTGAAGACAGTCAGGAAAATAACATGCATTTAGAATTCCGCAAGAGAGAATACCGTTTTGGGAAAACCAAACTCATATTTAGTGCATTGTGACCAAACAACATGCTTATTTACAATACTTACACACAAAGAACCAACAACAGTTACTCTCTCTTCTGTCTTCATGCGATATCATTAGCAACATTAATTTTTCTCTCTAATGATCTTTATTTTTATTCTTATTTTTAAGTAACCTTTAAGCCTAACAGCACTACTACTAATTTTAGATTTTATCTGAAAAACATTCTTTTTTCCACTTACAGTGTATGATTGAAAAAAACGTTACTTACAGAGACTAATGCCTCTGTCACACTAGTAAGGACAGAAGGTCGCAATGAATGGATGAGAATTTTATGTTCCGTCACAGCAAATACAAGTAGAGTTACTGCATTTTCAGGTCCTAAATTCTGAAGTAGTGTAGAAAACTTGCCCCCACTGTTACAGAATATAAACACACTGGTGAGTTACAAGGGACCATAAAAAAAAAAAAAAAGAAATGTTCAATAACAAAATAGAAAACAAGGCTTTAGAGTACGATTTTATAAACGTAAATCTGTAAATCTTTCTTTTAAAGACGACTGCAAGGCAGACTACTTGGTACACTTCACTGTTAAGTGAAGAACGGCTACTTCCCAATAGTAACCACGATTCCTTGAGACTCTTCAATCAGTCTAGACTATTTTCAGGACACGTGCATGATGATTTTTCTTTCTGAGAAGCAATTTGCAGGGAGACAACATACGTTTCTTTAATCATTCTCCTGCACTGAGACATGAAAGTTAAGACAGTCACAGAACTCCTTTAACCTTGCAATACAAAAGCTGCACTATCTCGGGAGCCCAGGTACCAACTCCTAGAAAGGGGATCTAACAATCTGTATTCTGCCTCAAGAACCACTAAAAATATCTGAAAAAAACACAAATATTGTTCAGTAAGTATGTATCCTTGTCCAGGCGCAGGTCTAACCACATAAATAAATTTCAGATACACTAGTTACAAAAGGCACCAGACAAGGTAGGTTAATTTGCACAATTACAACTCAAAGTACCAAATCTTTTCCGCAATGTAAATCAGAATACATTTCACAATTAAACCAAAGATACTGCTACTTGCCTCAGTGGAAGGGGTGATGACACAGGTTGGCTAAGAATCAGGTTATCATGTGGAGATAGCTAGAAAAAGATTTTAAAACACATTCTTTTTATTCTGAACTTTGGAAATATTTATTAGAAATTACACAACTATAACAAAGAACACCTAAAAATAAAATTTAAACTAAGCTGAACCATATCTATCCCAGTTGTATAGCACTGTAAGAAGTGGTATACAATGCTATGCATCAGTATCTTTTAGTAAAAAACAGGCAAAGCACAATCTTCCTTTCTTGGTCAGAACTGAATACATTGCATATTCATAAAGACTATGAATAAAATTTAAACTAGCTAATACTGCAAAAAATTGAATATATTAACTGCTGAAAAATGAAGCCTTCTGTATTTTAGGAGAAGCGAGGACCCATAGTTCATACGCAGCTTTCAGGGGCCAAGGCGGGATTCTTTCTGGATTTAGGGGGAGAGACATAGATAAAATGCACAAAGGGGAGAGATGGCAGATCGTAATGTAAAGTAGTATTTTCTTCAGAAGACATGAGAATTAGGCTCTTAGCTGGTAGAAACGGCTCAGCTCAGCTTTGATAGAATCTTTAAAATTTGCATTAGTTGAAGATCCAAGACAAAGATCTTATTAATTCACATTTCTTTCTTACAGTGATATGACATCAAGGGAAATCATTCATACATTCAGCATGAATAAGAGGATTCAAATAAGTACAAGAATACAGATACACAATCAATTTATCAAAGCTCAGCTGATGTTTTCAGCCATAGTAAGTCCAAGGTAACAAGATAGCAGTTAGCTTAACCCTCCCTGCTAAGTGGTCATGCATTTTCTGTCTATCATATAAAAGCAGACATACCAGTAGCAGTAGTAATTCAGTAAGTCACAGTAACTTGTACAACTAAGCTGCAAGTTCAGACAATGTTTAGTAACGTTTCATTTTTGAGTATGTTTCACCTTAGACCCCACTGCAGATAAGCAGACAATAGAAGTTAGAAGATCAGATGAATTAGTAATACAAATGCTGAAGCACTAAGTCACTTAACACTGTGCCTGACAGACACACAAAACATACGACATTAACGAGAGCCTATGCAATACTGCTTCCTTGCATATTTCACATACCAGAGCTTTTGAAGGCTGATGCTACATTTAGCTTCAAGACAAATGAGGATGGCCACACCCCTCTACATGCTAGATTCGTCTTCAAGTCACCTTGTGACAACTGCCACCATTAGCTTGTTCCGTGAAAGAATTCAGAGACCTCATCTTTTCAGCCTGAGGTAACCTTCATATACTACCCTCAGAAAGGAAGCATCAGCCTAATGTCCTACGAGTTTTGTGTTTCAGCAAGAGCAGACAAACACAATCAAGCATCTATTCAAAGAGCACGTCTCTCTTAGGCAGAAGGGGAACTTACTGCCCCCATTCTTCAGAGCGAGAAACATATTACTCGATGTGCTCTTGAAGTTTGCAGGTTGTGAATACATCATTAGAACAGGAACATCTGCGTAATAAGGGGATGTAGGACATGGAGAACGGAGTCTAGCAGATTTCAAATCAGAAACAACCTATCAACAACGGCAGCTGGAAACTGGCAATCAGGAACATTCCTGAATGTTTTACTAATGGCTATAATTTCTTTGAAACTTAAAATTTGTCAGACACATGCCATGTTCTCTCTCGCTTGTAACAGATGCTAAGAAGGATCTAAGAATGGGTTACACATCCAGACTAGCATACATGTAGTTACTGAAATAGATCAGGTCTCATTTTCAGAAAACACATAGGCACTTGTGAGACATTCTACAGCAACACATATTCAGAAGGATTTGCTATACTAATCATTTAGCAAAAGATGATCATGTTTTACATTAACAAGCTTCAGAGAGAAATTATTATTGCTTCAATGAAATGGAATCCTAAGAGCTTGTAATTTTCAAGAATAAAGGCATTTCCCACACTATTTTTGGGAAAACATCGTAGATACAATCATCTGTAATTTTATTCAGTGCAGTATCAAACACAACTCAACAGACCCTGAAAGCAGCTTGAAGGAAGTACTTATTCATAGACCTCAACTATCACTGCCTACTTTAAAAGCAGAGTGTTCTCCATCTGTACTATCAGCCACAAGTTGTACTAACTTGACACATTACAGCATTTTGAAAGTAAGATGTAACAGGCATAATTTCACATCACTTACATCTAGGTCCTCAGACTTTGTTCTGGCATATACACCCATGTATACTTTGACAGAGTTCAGACTAAAAAAAGACTAAAAAAATCAAATGTTCTTCTCTAAAATCACTTTTAGTTCTCTGTAAATGTGTGTTTAGTGTTCCCTAGCACAAATATTTCATTGAATGTGAATACAAAAAAACACCCCCACAATGTAAAACTACTGTGTTTTGAATTGAACTTTAAAATCATAATACAAGTGACAGAAGTGTCAGATACAGTTTCAGCATAACTGTTCTCCAACCCCTTTTCAGTAACAGTAATAAATGTCACTTCTTTAAAATATCCAAGTACATAAAGGAGGATCTTTAATATTAAATACATTCTACAAAGACATAATCCAAGATTGTATTTACTCTGAAAGATTTCACTAGCATATGGGCTACTACATTAAGACTGAAAACTGCACAGGGCTCTCTGTATTTTATTTCATAAAAGTAGTAACAGAGAGTAACATCATTTTGTAACAACTTGTTCAAAACCACAGGATTGGTAGAATAACTACAACCAGAATAGAGATGTCTTTTCTCAGCAATAAAATTTTAATATGTCTCTACTTGTTTTGCCTCTTAGGAGGAAAAAAAAAATGAAGATTTAATAACACTTCACTTAAGAAATCTTTGAGATAGAAATTTCCTCTCTCCTACCAATAGTGACATGGGTGACATTCCAAATAACAGGTAACCTAATCCTAGCAATTATACCACTTCACTCACACACAGTAAAATATGCTAGGTCTTGCAGGTAGGACAGAATAAGGGTCATATTTGATAAAGTATGCCTCTGTTGAATGTGTGTGGCTCTTGCAGTTTTCAGTAAGAGCCATCCATTATGTAGAGGACAGCATGAAGCCCTTTGGGAAAATGGGTAATCATGAATATACTCTTCACATCTGCTTTTAATTTTATTTCTTTATTTTACACTCAGCCTTCATACAGTAGCAAGAAGAAAACAGTTCTAAAGCTATTGCAAAAATCAAACCAGATGCCGACTTTGAGTATTTTTTCATTAATTTCTATATACTCTGGAAAAAAAAAAAAATTAAGTTCTAAGCTCACTGAAGAGTGAAGAGTATCTTGTAATAGCTCATTAAAGTCCTTAACTAAACTGGAAACAACAGTGAGAAATCTGTAAAAATTAAGTGTCCGAATTTAGGAAAAAAATCCTGAATGAAAAAAAAATCTGAACATAAAAATTACATTTTCCATTTACTAACCTGTTCAACAGCCCTTTTGTCTTCACTTAAGACATAGTTATTAAGAAGAAATTTACACTTACCTGAACTAGAATTCTTGGCCTCTGAGGAGATGGAAAAGGAACTTTATGCATGAAATGGGAAATGTGTCTAGAAGAAAAGAAAAATACTGATTTAGTAAAAATTATAAGCTTAAACTGCTTTACCTCAGGCAAAATTATTACCAGTAAGAGAAATTATTATATAAAAACGGCACATACTTATTCAGAAGACAGAAAGCAAAAAACAACTAGCCCCCAAACCCTACAGGGATATTCTGACATTGAAAACCTATTTTTCTACTAGTGACAACCAAAATGGCAGGCCAGATTATCCTTCAGACTACAAGCTTCATCTGTGAGAGTGAAAAATTACAAGGAGGGTTTTTTTTTTAGTTTTGCTTGTTTTTAATTGTAAGATAGAAATATTGATATTTGAGTACCACAATACCATTTCATAATCCTGCTTCTAAGACTGGCTTGAAATACCACTATAGCTCAGAGACTAGCACTGGTTATTTGCAAAAAAAAAAAAAAAAAAAATATTCACAGCTGAGTATCAAGGAGAATCATTAAGTTCATCCATTTTCTTCACATCCATTTTCTTCACTTCCAAGTACAAAATGTTATGTAAGGTTTCTGATGAAAAAAGTGTTAAAGTTTTTCCATATACTACAAATACAGAAAAATGTTTTTAAAATTGGAATAAGTTTTATAAATTGATTAAACTTACAAAAGTTCTAAAAGTGTAGGAGTTCTACATAATACACACTTTCACATTAAAAGAAACTACACACAATCAGTAGAAACTCAGGAAGAAACAGGTAATCCATTATAAACTGCATGCTACAGCACATACTTTATTGTGATCTCTGCAACTTTTACCATTATTATGATGCAGACAATCAAATTTTGAAGAAATTCAGAGAAACCCACAAATAAGCATTGATTTATATAGAAGACTCGTTTTACATGTTTCTGATTCAAAGCTATATATTTCATACACATATTTCAATGTAGCTACATATTACACCATTAGATGTATGCAAAAAAACCCATTTTTACTGTGTTTTTAATTTTGTGTACTTGTGCTAGGCTTAACTTTTTGTTGCAGTTTTATAATCACATAACTGGCATTAACCAGGAACAGTCTTGTGCCTCCTCTTCGCCACTCCTCAATTGACCTCCCTTGTGTCAGCATCAATGTCTGTGCAGCCACGTGGCAATGAGAACAGTAAAGGAATCAGCCTGACAACGAATTTGGGGTTTGTCTTTATTATCAATGTATGAAGATGGTGGCAGAAATATGGAACATACAGCAAACATCAAGGGAAAGGCCTGCTGCTTGCAGAAGCAGGGGTGACTGGAAATGTTCAAATACACACGTATGGCACAGACAACCTTCATCATCACTAAAATAGCAAAAGAAACTAGGCTAGATACTATATTAACTTTATGCAAAACAGTGTAGCTATATTTAAATTACCCACAGTAAGTTGACCAGTCAGTTTACAAATCAGAATAAGCAAATAAATCTGCAAAATCAAAATGAATAAAACATTTATTACATTTACTTCTCATTTTATTCATTCCCGAAACCCAAAACCCAAAAATAGTTCTCAGCTTAAAAAAAAAATCTTTTCATTATTGGAAGTTTACACTATCAGAATTTTAAAACAAGTATAGTAGATACAAAGTGGAATAACAAAGTGGATAAACAATCACAAAAAATGCTCAATCCACAAAGTCAAAGTCTCATACAACTTAATATTGAAGTTTAATCAGAAGATTGATGTGTAATAAAATAAAAAAGCAAAGACTGCATTTGAAATCTGATGCATTAAAGTTACATTAGCCTAGAAATGTTAAACGGGTTAAAACAGTATTACATACCAATTACAGATATCAACCAGTTCTTGGATGTAAGGATTTCCTCTGCATTTTAAAATGTGAAATCCTTTATGTAAGAAGGGAATTAAGTTTATTTATCACAAATAGAGGAGGATTACTAGTGCAAAAAATTCAATCTGCTTTATTATCTCTCATTACATAACAAATAGGCATTTGAAAAAATGCAAAACTACGTATTTCATTCTCCTAACTTAATGTATGCAACATTAAGAAAGATTTATAATCTTGCTCCTCCTAATCACTACGCTAAAGGGTGCAAAGCTAATTAAAAAAGGCTTTCAGAGATACCTTTGCAGGCACTTAAATCACAAATAAAAATGTAGGCTTTTTCAGGAAGTAGGTAAAGATACATTTAATCAATGGAGAAAAGTGCTTAATCTACTGTAACCATTATATTTAATGTTTGATGACTAAAGTCAAAAGGATATTATAGGAAACTTAGACGTTAAAAAAGAGCTCTCATCAACTGAAATTACTGTTACGAATTTTTGAAATTACTTACTTCTCAATGGGTAGGACATGTGGACCAGAAATGGAGTAACGATACAGAAAGGTAAGAAACTTCTTGAAAGCATCAAAGAAAGGCCAGTGAGAGAGCAGACAGATGCATTTATTTGTTTGAACTGTTCTGCATGTGTCTGACTTTCCCTCAACAGCAGCTGCTAATCCCAGCTGAGATTTTTGTTTCTCTGTGAGATTCTCTTCAGGATACAGTTCATAAAACTGAATAGCAGCACCATATACCTGCAAACAACATTGTTGATTTGAAGTCAATAAATCTGCCTCAATCTTCAAAGCAATCTAACAAACGCCAAACATGCAAGGAAAATCAAGTCTATGTTACTCTTTGAAAAGTTACTTTAATGCACCATCTTTTGAAGCAATCTATTCTGGAATATTCTTACGGCTGTAAAAATCCAGACTGTCTATTATTTATTTAAAACACTTAATGTCATATGAGAAAGAGAATTTATGAAACGATTTAAGTGAAAGAAAAATAATGATTATACAGAGGACAACTATAGTCAACTGCTCCTACAATTGCCTTTAAAGCTATTTTAGGAATCCTTCATAAACAACTCAAAGCAGTATTCCTCTGACATCCAATTTACTTTTTAGAACAAGTATTTACATGCAAGGTTATTTCCATGTTTGCAATAAAAATAGTATACTTGCATGCATATGCAATCAGAATTTTTACAGCTCTGTAGTTTCAAAGGCTAACATGATTGGAAAGCAAAGGAGTACAGGTTTATATGATCAACAGTCCAGCAATGAAATAAATGCAAGTCACTCTTTAAAGTAGTCTTTGAATTAAGCCCCAATGAATAGATTCAAGTTTGTCTATGAAGGTATGCATTATCATCATCCTGAAAAGATGAACAACTACATTTTTAAACTTAAATTATTAACAATGATTTTTTTTTTTTAAAGCTTTCAAAATACCTTTTCTGCAGAAGCTCCAGTTAGTACAAATGTAGAAAAAACCGGGAGAGGGTATTTACTGTTAGATGGCCAACATTCAATTGTTGCACCCATAGGTAGACAAAAAAGAGGCACAGATTCTGGTAATGGGAATGATTCATAATCTTCTTCGGGATATCTGCATATTAAACCTATAAAGGCAATTTGTAAAGAGGCAGTTATGTAAGGAATAACAGAAACACATTTGTAATAGCTCATTCCATAAAAACATGCCCAGAAAAATCATCTGTGAGCATACACTAACTTCAGAAGATCAGTAAAGGAAAGTTGTAAATAATCATGCACAGCAAATAGCTGGAAAGGGGCAGCATGCTTCCAATGCCTAAGGAAGAATCACCTAAAACACTAGACTGAAGTCCTACTTACTATTCTAGGAACTATTCATAACTAATTTATCTTTTTCTGTTTGCAGGTTGTGTGCATCTCAGCTATTATTATAATAGTTCACATTTATCATTAGTGTGAGTAGAGATTTAAAATTTAGTTAAAAAAATGGTAACCTGAATAATTGAGAAATAAGACTGATGTTTTCAATTATGAAAGCAATTAATTCTTACCAACAAAAGTTTCCTGAAAAATCCGATGGTGTTAGATATTAGATACATTTTTTTTAACATCAATAGAATCGAACCAATTAATTATGCTGATCCACCTCAGCTGACAATTCAGCTAATGTGCTATCAGACTAATGTGTTTACACTTAATTTTAAACATAGCTGCAAAACACGAAGTTCTGAAGCAGAGGCTCTTAACATACAGGTCTTCAATTACATCATACGGCTGTAGCAATCTATCCTTTCTTATTGCCAACCTATTATTAGGGGACTCCAAACTGAGAATGAATATTGCATGAAGGGATTTAGGATTTCTCGGCATTAGAGAACACAACCACTACACATTCTTTTCTAATATAGAGTGAAATATTAATAAGCAATAAACACTGGTAATCAAGAAGGGCAGTGTTCCCCTCCGCCCCCCCGCCAAGAAGCAAAATTTTGTGCAAACTACTACCAGATGTGGGGCCTTTTAAAATTTTCATTTATTTATAAATTTATTGTCAACCTCTTAGTTAGTCCTAAACTACTGTTGTTTACAAAGAGCAGCATCTCAAAGGGATATAAGTGAATTAAAGCTTAAGTCTGAATCATGCTCATGACTTGTATGCAAACAAAATCAAGGATTTAAAAAAAAAAAAAACAAAACAGAAAAACCAACACATTTCATCAGAGCCATAGCAAATCTAATTCTGTCTTATAAATAAAACAACAAAATAAAGATGATGCACAATCCAAAAATACTTGAAGAGCTCAATGCCGCTCATGTTCAGGGCAGCATGGAAGTCTGCAGTATTCTTCAAAACGTTTCTTAAAGAAAGTGATCATGAAAATGCAGCAAATAATTTTTGCGGTATTTTCTTCTGCATATATATATATACACACACACACACACATATCCTTAAGAGACAGTTATCAGCAACAAAAACAGAGGTGGGAGACGCACAGGTTTGTAGAGACCTATCAAAACACAACTGAGCTTCCAATTAAAAGCAAATTTTAAAACAAAATGGTCATGATACATAATTCTAAGGCTTATTTTAGGACATTATTTTAAAAGAATTCTTCAGGGAAAGATTCCTTTTTGGATAATGCCAAGACAGTGTCTTTGTCAAATAATTCTTCGATAAAAAAAATGTATTACATTACAAATAAGCCTGTACATCCTGAATTGAAGATAAAAAAAGCTAAACAGTAGTTACATACCAGCTTTATATGATATGGTGTTGGTTTTTGCCACAGACTTTTTATAACATAAATATACTGCTGAGCCCCACTGTAAAACAAAAGAAATTATTGGATTACATGATGAAGTATAACAAAAGAACGCAACAGAAAAGAGTGGAGGAAAACCTCCTCTTCCTTGTTTACAAAGAACTATAATCTACACACAAAAATATAGAGCATTAAGATATAGGAATTTTGGGCCTGCTACGCTATCCTTTCCAACAATGGCCACAAACAGGTAACTGAAAGTACTGTGTTAGCTCTGAGCAATGGCAGACATCAGCCTGACCTCTAAATCAGAACTGGTTTATAGACTGAAGCATGACATCTATAAATTCTTTTCTAAAACATTTGTTAACACAACTACAGAATTTTAAGTACAATTGTCATCCATATAAATATTTAAACCTTTCTCCATTTTGTTAAACTTCTGGCTTAAATATCTATATAGACAGATACACATACATACATGCACACATTTATGTATATACACACACACACAGAGTGCAATGTTTCTGTGATTCACTACATTTGTGTATTACTTTAATTTAATAATTAACAATTTTTCTTTTGTGCCTGCATTTTTATTTTAATCGTGATAATCTTTAAGCACAATTCCTTATTCCATCTGTGATTTCATAGTCTACGAAAAGCTGCAGCATAATGTCATAGTTTTTGCAGCTTCTAAAAGACAATTTCCTTTCTGGCACTGTTAATGCTTTAAAATATTTTTTAAGTTCTCAATTTCTGGACATGAGAATAAACAACATGGAAAGCCACAGAATGGAAAAGACCGGCACCCTTTAAGGGCACACAAAGCTTTTAGGGATGGGAGAAAGATACAGCAATTTCCGTAAGACAGCACTCCCATAACCCAGTCAATACAGGGACTGGTAGGACTGAAAAATCCATTTGTTAATGTCTACAGGCATTTATTTAAAAACAAGTACAGATCAATTTCCACGATCTTTTTTGCATGATACTACTCACATACGCAGTCAGCATGCTCATGAGCATGCTGACTTCTGAGGACCCTACAAAAGCCAGCACTTAGGGCTGCAGATTCAACTAGGAGACACCTAAATATTTAAGTTCTGCAAAACAAAGTGCTGTGACACCTGTGTATTTTAGCAGGTCTAGCTTTGGAACCATATTAAGCATTTAAACAGGCTTACAGTCAACAGCATCCAACATCGCTTATATGCAACTTTCTTCAGAGAAAAAGTTTGTGAAAATACTGAGGAGTATGGCACTTATAAAATAGCATTGTAGGTAATAGGGGAGTTTAAAAACAAAACAGAAGACAGTTGTTAGATACAGAATTCCCATCACAACAGTAAAATCAGTGTCAGAAACAGCCACGTCTGTGAAACCTCCAGTTATACTCATGGTGACACAACAGGTTCTAAGGACCAATCAAAAGCTGCTGAAGTCAGCATTTCTAAGTCAGCACTAAAAAAACTATTTGCTCCAAGACTTCCAAAAAGACGGGTTTTTTACAAGCAGGAACAAAGAAATGTAATCCTCCAACTCTTCCAAGATTTGATTTATTTTTGGAGAGTGCTTATCAAAATTTTTCACCAGGTACTCTCAGAACTGTCACAAATATTCCACAAACATTACATTACTGAATATCAAGTGTTCAAAATCCAGATTTTGAATCTTACCATACTATTATTAAGATTCTTGTCAACCTTGCAGAATGTATGTGGAGGGGTTTCTCCTTTACTTGGTATGATTATACATATATCCGTAACAGCCAATGTATTTTGTGTCATGTTTTCGGATGCTCTTCGGTAAGTGATGTACACTCTTTGTGATGACGCACTGCCACTAATATTTGCAGGCCGACCATATGGAGTAGTTTGAATTATTTCACAACCTTGCTTTACTCTTTCTTTCCCATCATATAAAACCCTAGTTAAAATGGGATGAACAAAAGTCAGAAGACAATTTTTTTTTTTAACACTTACAATACTAATACTATACTAAGAATTATAACTGAATAGTAGTAGTTTAACAGCAGCTCTTGTCTCATCTCCAATCAAAACATTTTTACTGACAAGTTCAGGTCACATCACATCAAATTGCATTCTAACAGAAAAGCTTCATAATGAAACTATACTAGTTTTCCTCACATATAATTGCTTTTAAGTGTTTTGTTTACTGCAAAATAGTGTTATTTTTAATTCCATTAAAGATTCATTGCCTGATCCTAAGAACATCATACAATTCACCTCCTTTCAATCTGTATTAAATAGGTTAAGCATCTTACCTCAATCAAAATATATACACTGAAAATTATAAACGGCTTTGAAAACTCCAAAATGAAAAGGACTACACTTGTCACTAAAATCCACTCAGCATGCATTTTTCCCACCATACTGGGTTACAGTATGCTCAAGTCAAGAAATATCTTCCTGTTTAGAATTTTGCCTTATATTAAAAAAGTATGGTATTTCAATAAACCTCATCAGTCAAATAACACTGCCAAAATCACTTACTGGAACAGAAAATACACTCACCCCAAATCAGTAAGTGGGGGCTTATCCCTTCCTCGGCGATAACAAAGGTATATTTGCGGTCCTACAAGACTGCCATTATTAAGATCTGCAGACAGTCCTGAGGGAGTAACATCTATGCATTTATATCCCTGAGGAACTTCCTCCCCCAGAGATTTATTAATTACTGTTACATCTGTAATAGGTTCTTTTGGTTTAGCGATTTTATGGCAAGCATCATTGAAGTGGATTTCTTCCTCTAGTGGTTTTGAAATATCTGTTAATCCTGCGACAACAAAGTAGTCAGCAACACGAGCCCCTTTGTCTTCCATCTTCCATTACAAGACGTTATAGCTGGTAAGAAAGAAATATATATGTGTATTTTTAAAGGAAATTACAAGATATCAGAAATAATAAAATTATGTTTATTTTCAAAAACAGAAAACTTGCAATAATATAAATGAAAACACAATAGAAGAATACAAAAGAAATACAGAAATCCATCATCAGATCATGTAACATTTTTCACTTGTAATCATGATCTTTCCAATTTGGAATTCTGAGCCACAATCATGCGAGTTTATTGTTAAATCTTGGAATGGAAAACCCAAGTGGCCTCTTTTTGTTAACTTACACACTAGAGTAGCTGAATCAACAGGAACAGTAACAGCAAAATACTGTGCAAAGTCTTGCAAACAGTTCACTACTTAAAGCTCATGGCTGAGCCAAAAAGTAGTTCTCATATTTTGCATATAGACTATTATTGCACTCTATTCACCATGACAATGGACCTTCTAAGGCATAATCTGCAATTAATTTGCTTCCTGATTATTAAATATATATATATGCAAAGGCTGTCTTGATTATTCTAAAGATACAACTATAATATTTGCAGCCATCTTACCCTACAGGATTTTATATCAGATACCAAGGCCAGATCTTCTTGGAGCATTTTTGCAGGCTAAAAGTTGATACCATTTTATTTTATAGTGTTTTGGGGCTCAGATCCTTGATATGCAACCCATCCGTAGCCAGCAATATACTAGCTTTTATACAAGACATTCAAACCAAGTCAACTTCAATGGACTACAGACCACTCTGAAACAAAAACATTCAAGACCACATGAAGTTTTTCATAATGAAAAGGAATACAGGCTTCTGTTCCAGCCAAATTGTGTTGGGAAATTACATTTTTTCTCCCTGGAACATATTGATAAAAAAAATTCTTTACATATGAATTCTTTCTGCATAGTGTTTTTTTGCAGTGTTTGCCACGAATGTTGTAAATTAACTTCAGCACAGGACAAAGTAATATCTGTAGGATGAAAAGATGGCCTTGCAAACAATGCAGTGCACTGCATATCAGGAGATTCAGTTTCCTCTTTGTCAGAGACTCTTGAATACCTCTGCAAGTCACTTAAACACCATGTCTTATTTAATAGCTTGATTTTGCAAATGAAGAAAATACTTTCTGCTCTTTCATGGAACATTGACAAGTGGGCTAAAAATGTTTATCTAAGTCACCCATATGTGCTGGAACCTCACTAAAGTAGCTTCAGGAAGTTTACTGTCATCAGGTTCCAGACTTTTTAAACCAGACAAGCTATTTAAGACTCCTTTTTGTTGAATTAATTTTGTTCGGGTGTAAAATTTTATTGCAAGAGAAACTGTTACAACACAGAAGTTTCAAGAACTTTCTAGTGTTCAGAAACCCAACAAACAAAATTTAAAACAGTTTGAATGGTCGGTACAAGGCTTCAGTTTTCATGCCACCTTTATTCCAGTTGCTTTATCTCCCTCTATTTTTTGCTTTAGGTAGCAAGTATTAAGCCTTATCAAACTTCATACCATCATGATTCTTGGATTTTACCAACAAATCTTCATTAAAACAAGCAAAATACATTTGGACATCTCTCACTGGTAATGAGGGAAATTATGTCCTAAGCTGATACCGTGCATTTAATCAAATTGTTCCAAGCTGACTTCAGATTTCCAGCACCAGTCCCTGCTCAAGAAGGAAGAATGTCAGCCTGTGCTGATCACCACTATCAACCTCATCCACCAGTGCAAGAAAGGTAGTTCCATCTTTGTGCTCTTATTTTGCAGGTTGTTTGTATTTTGCTGGAGTAACTGACTTGACTAGCTTCTAAAGTCACAAAGACATGAGTAACAGTTTTTATTTTAAGGTTATTTACATTATTCAAGAAAATGCAAAGAAAAACCCCCAAACTATCCAACCTTTATTTCTTTCTATATGGTTAATAAGCAATACGGGACACTTTAGAACACATGATTACTGGGAAACAATCATCAATATATAGCAGTGTAACAGTTTGTAAATAACTGTTCAACTTGTTTTCTGAGAGAAGAGAGAATGCAGTTACAAAACTAAGCTTAATTTGACCTATATTCAATTATTTCAAAAACATCTGGAAGAGGTTACTCAATTAGCAGTATATGAGTGTAGCAACTACAAACTCAAACTTCTCGAGTGATACATCCAAAGACACACAAATTCAACCACTATATATGCTGCCTATTATTTCACTGTACATCTGGCTTCAGCAAAACCAGAATAGGCTAGCAACAAATGCATGAAGAGATAAAGAAGTTTCATAAAACATCTTTAAATTCTAACATAAGACCAAACACTAACAACTTTTAGCTAACGTGACTGAAGTTCTAAATATTTTGTAACATTAACAATTCTCTGTAAAACTTAACTATGGTATACCACATTTTAACTATCATGAAAACTTTCTATCTTTATCAATCAGCACTCACTCTAAATCAATGGATAAGCTCTAACAGTTTTTTTAAAGCTACAATACACTGGGCAAGCATTTGCTCTTAAGTTAAAAATAAAAGAAAAAAGATATATATACACATCAGACCATAAGCAATTGCTTTTAAAAAATATCATTTGAAAATGCATCAAGAAATGTAAAAAGAAAAAAATGAATACTTCATAACATAGATCAGAAAAGAGCTATAGTCAAAGACTGCTCAGAAGATAGAGGGCGGAGATATAAAAATATAAAATATATTTATAAAATATTTATATAAAAAATACAAACACCAAAATATTCCTCAAGAACTGCTGAGGAAGAAAGGGCTGGCTAAGTAAAAGCTACCAACCAAGCAATTTAAACTCAACGCTTACCCCATCATGAGCTCTGGTGAAAAAGTTTTTCATGAAAAGACTTGAGAAGAGAGAAGGTAGACTGAAAGCTGGCTAAGTCTTGCACTGTTGTGTATGAAAAATGCCCCGTAACCACAGGCTTAGCACGAAGCAGCAGAAACACTACAAAACTGAACTTTGCCTTAAAGATTCTGAGTAAGAAAAATACTAAGTTTTGTTCCTTTTCTCATTAGCATTATTACACAAAACTAAACCAATTTCTGAGTGCTTCACAATGCCTTTTAAGTTGAAAAGAAAACAATATCTTAGTAATCAAAAATTATACAAGCTATGACTGTTAAAATTGCAAGTAAGCCTTATAACTTCAGTGTATTAGCAGCACACTATTCCAGTTTAATTAGCCAAGACAGTACTACAAATAAACAGAAATATATATATATTATACTGAAGAATCATACCTATCTCACAATTTAATTTAATTTCATATTAAGTTTATACCAAAAGTCTTAAATTCAAACATTCATTTATTCCCAAAAGCACTTTGAAGAAAAACTGGGACAAGCTCTCCTCATTTAGAGCTGGTTAAAATTAGAATCCCCTACATACAAACACCTGCTATCACACAAATTTGCTTCCTAAGGTTATAGCAAGTAATACACAAGTCAGCAAGACTTTGATAATTTAATGCAGCTTTTACAGAAGGGAGAAGAAAAACACCTAGCTGATGATGCATCATCCCTTCAGATCTTTGCCTTCTGTTACAAAGGCTTGCAGCTAAAAATGGGATGAAATGCAGAAGATAAGAACAATTCAGTGGTACTTTATTCAAGCCAACTTAGACTGTACTAGAGCTACCGTGATACTCAAATTTTCAATATCTGTTTAACTGTGAGAGCAGATTTATGCAAACTTTATGTTAACAGACCCCAGAAAGAAGGTATATAATGTGAGCTAATTCAGTGACAAGTAATCATTCTGTGACAAGCAATTTCACATAAACTGATGAATCTGAATAATTTCTGTAGAAACTCTTACCATGAAGGTATTCCAAAGCATGTTATAATTATATACATCACACATTACTGCAAGTCAGGAAAAAAAAACCCACCACACAACAGAAACAAAGTCAAACTGCGAAAGAGTGAAGTGCACGTCCCAGTGAAATTCAACAACATTAACAGTGCTACGCTGAGAAGCAGGTACTATTGCTTCTCTACACTTCAGTCATCTGGGGATGAAAGGCTGTGCTTTGAAGATAATGCCATGGGATCATAAACATAGCCTCTTACAAAAGGCCCTGAAAACAAGTGCAATACATGGTCTTTGAGCCATCGCAATCATTTTCAATGGACTGCATATAATTAATACCACTATGAATTAAATACCATAAACATCAGTAAGAAACAAAATATCCTTGCAAATAGCAAACAAACTGACTTGTAAGAACATATTAAAAACACACACAGACTTTGCAGATCATGACTATATAAATGTGGGAGAAAAGAGGGCTTTTTGCCATTTCTAAATATATGGAAACAGGGGAAACAATCAGATAATCCTGCCACAGATCCACAAACTATTAGCTTGATTACTTTGCTGAAAGACAATGGGTAAACTCAGTTTCATTGTTTATTCAATTTAATTTTTTAATATAATCATATTTCTTCGGAAACATTTAGGAAATACTAATCAATAATTTTCACTGTCTAACTGTCACCACTGTTGTAATTCATAGGTGCTGGCATTTTAGCAACTGCGCAAGAGAGATTAATCTGAAAAATTAGCTTTGTGATCTAACACTATAGGATCTATTGCTAGTGGTAAAAGAGAACCAGTCTGCTGCAAAGTGCAAAACAAATCTGCTATTACATGGAAGATGATCAGGAGGTTTACAGGAGTTCCACGTGGCTGACTCTTTTGTGATAAAATACTGGTGGGACTTAGATCTAACCCTGAATTCAGAAAGCAGAACATATACACTGACTTATTTTGCTTCCAACAAAGTTTTTTTTCCTATTTGCTATAAGCTATTTGCAACTCTCATACAGAAAGCAAACAAAAATCAAAAGGCATGATTTTATACCAGCTCACACACTTTCAGGTAAAACAACTAAATCAGTGTCCAAGCTTTTTGAACAGATTACATTTTTCATTCAAATACTACAAAAGGGAAATACACATCAGCTTTTTCCTCACCACGTGACCAGAACTA